GTTGAACCCTGTCTATACCCCAGTGTTTCCTTCAAGGCAAGACTACAGTGGACTTCCTGGGAAGTATCTTGGAATGCTAGGGAACCTGGATGTCTGCCTGTGGTCTCCCTTCCCATTCGTGTTAGTCCATTTTCTGTTGCTAGTAACACAATAGCACATACTGTGCATATTTTTTTAAGAGGTTTATATTGGCTCAAAGTTCTGGAGGTCCATGGTCAAGGGGCCACATCTGGTGACAGGCTTCATGTTGGCAGAGTCCATGGAGGTGCAGGGCATCACCGGGCAAGGGACAGGGAGCATATGTCTGGGATTGTGTCTTCTGGTCTCTCTCTTCCTACAGAGTCACCAGTTTTCAACCGCAGGAGCTCTGCTGTGATGACCTTATCTGATCCCAATGACTCCCCTCCGAGTGTCCACCTTCTAACATCTCACAGCAGTGATCAAACTTCAATATGAGTTTCAGAAGGGAAAACCAATACTCAAACCAAAGCACCATTGTGGAAACCATGGGCCCCAGGGAAATACTGTCTGTGTAGCACTGTGCCAACCCGTGGGATAGGAAGAGGCAATGAAGTAAAACACTGTTCCTTCTACCCCTCCAATGTAGTTTTCATTTAGTTCTGTAATCCATGCTAGTTCTGAATGCCCAACTTTGGAAATTTTCATAATGCTATTTTGTGTGTAGATAGTTGCTAGTTAGAATTTCTGTTTGGAGGAAGAGTAAAACCTGGGACTTCTATTCCACCATCTTTCTTTTGTCTCTCTTCTCTTATTCTTTTTGATTAAAAAAACTTATAGTTCCTTCAGGTCCTTTAGAAAAAGACCCTTGGGCCAGCGCTGTGGCTCACTAGGCTAATCCTCTGCCTGTGGCGCCAGCACCCCGAGTTCTAGTCCCGGTTGGGGCGCCGGATTCTGTCCTGGTTGCTCCTCGTCCAGTCCAGCTCTCTGCTGTGGCCCGAGAATATGGCCCAAATGCTTGGGCCCTGCACCCGCATGGGAGACCAGGAGGAAGCTCCTGGCTCTTGGCTTTGGATCGGTGCAGCGCTGGCTGTGGCGGCCATCTGGGGGATGAACCAACAAAAGGAAGACCTTTCTCTCTGTCTCTCTCTCACTGTCTAACTCTGCCTGTCAAAAAAAAAAAAAAAAAAGATCCTTAATGCATTAGAGACTTTACATTATGAAATATTTATAATAGATATTTATAATAGATTCGTTGTGTTTCTACATTCATCCTTTGCTATTTTTCCTTCATTATAACTTGCGTGAATGTCATTTGAAATTACCAGGTAATCATTCAACATTCCTGAGCTATCCCACATTTTCTTGGAATTATTTTATGATTATTCAGTTAGAAGTTTGAGAGTCTTTTTTAAAATTTCTTTCATTGATCATGATCTCTTTCTAAGATTCAGTCCATAGGTCAAAATTCTTTTCTCCTTTGAAATTTTTGCAAAAGTTTCCCTTTCCTAACTCCAATCAGGGTTCTCTTTTCTGTCATAAGGACATGGAGCTTTCAGCATTTTTTGTATCTCACCACATCCCTGCAAACTCAAATACATTTTTCCTGCAAGTAAAATATTGTAGTCATTTTGCATTACCACATATGTTGGCTTATATCAATTAGACTTGCTTTCCCAATGCTTCTAGTGACATTGTTAAACAAGCTATTTATTAATCATGTGGCAGTTCATGTCACATGCTTTAACAGTAATCTTTCTCCCATTCAAGAAAGCACACTTGCAAGAACATAAGAGCAGGGATATCATTGGGATAATTGTGACTACACTCAAATTTTTTTTTCTAAAGATTTATATCATCCACCTGAAAGACAGAGTTACCGAAAGAGGCAGAGACAGAGAGAGAGGTCTTCCATCCACTGGTTCACTCCTCAGATGGCCGTAATGGCCGGAGCTGCGCTGATCCAAAGCCAGGAGCCGGAGCTTCTTCTGTGGGTCTCCCACGTGGGTGCAGGGGCCCGAGGCCTTGGGCCATCTTCCATGGCTATTCCAGGCCTTAGCAGAGAGCTGGATCGGAAGAGGAGCAACCGGAACTAGAACCAACGCCCATATGGAACGCAGGTGCTCAGGCCAGGGCTTCAACCCACTGTGCCACAGCACCGGCCCCCACACTCAAATATATTGCAATTTAAGACTGTCACTATTAGTGATATATCACCTGCAACATACCGTAGGCCAAAACTAAGCTGAGGGGCAACAAAAGTGCTTTCCCACGAGTGCCTATCCTCCTCCACACCACCAGCTGGATTGTCCTCATTGGTCAAAATGCAGTCAGGCTTCACTTGCTGCTTTTTCTTTTTCTTTTTTCTTTTTTTTTTTTTTTTTGACAGGCAGAGTGAACAGTGAGAGAGGGAGAGAAAGGTCTTCCTTTGCTGTTGGTTCACCCTCCAATGGTTGCCGTGGCCGGAGCATTGTGGCCGGCGCACCGTGCTGATCCAAAGCCAGGAGCCAGGTGCTTCTCCTGGTCTCCCATGGGGTACAGGGCCCAAGCACTTGGGCCATCCTCCACTGCACTCCCGGGCCACAGCAGAGAGCTGGCCTGAAGGTGCAACCGGGACAGAATCTGGTGCCCAACCAGGACTAGAATCCGGTGTGCCAGCACCGCAGGCGGAAGATTAGCCTAGTGAGCTGTGGCGCTGGTCAATTTGGTCAATTTATTTATTTATTTATTTATTTGAAAGGCGAAGTTACAAAGAAGTAGAGGCAGAGAGAGAGCGAGAGCGAGAGAGAGAGAGAGAGAGATCTTCCATCCACTGGTTCACTCCCCAGATGGCTGCAATGGCCAGAGCTGCACCGATCTGAAGCCAGGAATCAGGAGCTTCCTCCAGGTCTCCCACAGGGGTGTAGGGACACAAGGTCTTGGGTCATCTTCTACTGCTCTCCCAGCTTCTCTTTTCCAGAGAGCTGGATCGGAAGTGGAGTAGCCAAGACTCAAACCGGCACCAGATGCCATCATTGTAGGTGGTGGCTTTACCCACTACACCACAGCACCAGCTCCCAAATATTGTATTTTTTAAGAACCTGCTCCTTAGAATATTTCAGGACTCCTTAAGAAATATAATCTGTACTCCAAATCTTCAATGTAAAGAAAATATAGTCTTTAGTAAGATGGCTGCCACAACCACCTGTGCTGAGCGCTTGTGGTGTGAAGGAGGGACAGGGGAGTGGAGACACAGAACATTAGCAGAATTCACAGTTGTACCAGAGTACAGGTGAGGGAATCCAAGAAGGCAGTAGGTAAATCTGTAGGTAAACAGGGAGAAAAAAACTCATAATTTGGTGGAGATTGAACTGCATTGGCAGAGAAGGCATAGTAAGTCTAGGATCCAGTTAAGTGATTAGGAAAAATAGTAATAGCTGTGGATCTGGGACAGCCTCGCCAATGGCAAGGGAAGAGCAATTGACAGTAACCAGAGCTTAGTAGTAAAGAAGTAGAAAAGTGGCCAAGGGTTTGTGAAAACATGCTCAGCAAGTCGGAAGTTTGGCCACCTCTGGGTGTCTAAAATGACGTGCTCGTGACTATCAGTGACCTCAGTGCCAAGTAACTGGTGAATAGGTCTGGAGAAGCCACAAATGGATGTGGAATGTCAGACCACCTGGAGCAGAGAAAGACAGTGGACAACCTGGGGCTTGGGAATGTGGTCACAGGGAAATGGATGTCCGTGGCGACCGCAGTCTCAGAGCTGCTTTCTTGTAGAGCAGTGGCAGACTGGAGTAGGGCAGGAGGACATAGAGGGCTCAGGAGTGAGCAGCAAGGTCTGCAGACACTGTGTGTGCTGGAGGTGCTGTCATGCATGCAAAAGCTTGGTCTTGGGAGTGGCCCAACCATGTCAAAGTTACAACTCTTTTCCAATGCCTGTCAAGTGCAACTGAGGCCCCAAGTGTTTCTAAGAGGTTCAGGCCTTGGACAATTGGTGGAGGCGACCTAAGAGACTGCTGGATAAATAATACCCCAGAGGGGTCTTGCCAGACAGGGACATGCTCAGAGTTGGTGGGACAGTCTGCATTTTTTTTTTTTTGTCATAAAAATGCGCCCAGGACAGACAGTCAAGGGCGAAGGTGTCTTCCAGCAGATGAAAAAGTCAATATTCATTGGAACTGTATCCATGGAATCCATAAAGGCTGTTCTCTTTATATCAATAAAAAATTTAAATAAAATGTAATATAATCAGAAATTTCAGGGAAATAAATGTCACTGTTCTATCTAAGAGGGCCTGAAGAAGTCACCGCAGACATGACAGGGCAGAGGACGTCATAACCCTGAGAAAATGTGCACAGGCAACAACTAGTCCCAAAGTGAGTCTGGGAAGTGAAGGCACAGAGCTCCTTGTGCATGAGGCAGCTCCTCCCAGACTGGATAGACTTGAGCTGGGGTCAAGAACAGATGAATGTTACAAAACCCTTAGTCTCTTCGGAGGTTTCCCTGGTGCCACCGTCCCAAGGCAGTGACAGCTGTGCAAATCCGCTGGAGCATGCCTAAAACTCCCTTCCTTTCTCAGCTACACACCAGCCACTTCCAGCCCTTGTTGCCAGGCAGTTCAGGCAGGGTATGCTGTTCAGCAGGCCTTGAAGCTGAGCACAGCAGGCCCCTCTTACGCTTGGGGAGGGACTGCAAGACCTCCAGTGGATGCCTGCAACTGGACAGCACCAAAATCTATATACTATATACATTGTCTTTTTCCTATACATACATACCTGTGATAAAGTTTAATTTATAAATTAGTCAAATAAGAGACTAATAATAGAAATAGAACAATTATAACAATATAATAAAAGTTATATAAATGTGGTCCCTCCCTCTTTCTCTCTCTTTCTCTCTCCCTACCCCACAATATCTTATTGTACAATAGATCTTAACAACCTCAGCATACCATTTTTTTTCTTTTTTAATGTAAATTTTTAAAAAAATTTAATTAGTTTTTAACAGATTCAGTGTGATTTATAGATACAATTCTGAAAACATAGTATTTCCTTCTTCTCTCCTCCTCTCTTTTTTACTTTTTTCTCCCTTTCTCTCTTTTTGTTTAGTTTTTGAGATAACATATTTTAAATTTACATTACAGTAAAAAGGCTTATTATTTCACTGAATAAGAATTTTAACAAGTAAAAAGCAAAAAGACACTAGTTTAGTCTAAGGTCTAGTTTGGTGGAAATACATACAACAGCTATAAACAACAAGTAAATGGAAAAATGACCGTTTCACCCATATACAATAAATTTTAAAGTAATCACAGATCATTAAAATTATGGTAGTGTAATATTCTTAACCATTGATTTTGCAAGGTGTAAAATGAAGTTTTACAAAGCCATATTTGCAGCAATACTGATATACACAAACGTTTCTTTTTTCTTTTATGTTTCTTTTTAAAAATTTAACTCCCACATATAAGGGAGAACATGCAGTATTTGTCTTTCTGGGTCCAGCTCATTTCACTGAATACAATATCCTCCAGTGGTGTCCATTTTGCTGCAAATGGTAGAATTTTATTCTTTTTATAGATGAATAATATTCCATTTTGTATGTATATATACACCACATTTTCTTCATCCATTCATCTGATGGACACCTTGGTTGGTTCCAAATGTTGGCTATTGTGAACAGTACTGCTATAAACATGGTGGTGCACATATCTCTGATTCATTGTGTTCAAGTTTTTTTGCTATATACCAGTAGTGGGATTGCTAGATAATATGGCCATTCTATTTCTAGTTTTTTTTTTTTTTAAGAAATCTCCCTAAAATAGTAATTACAAAACATATGAAGTTTATAACTGTAAAGCTGTATAATTCTGCATACATTCCTACAGACTTACTTCTAAGGGTACAGTTTAAAAATGTGACGTGGGATCCCAAATCCCCTTAAGCTGAGTGGTAAAAACAGCATTTTAAGTGTAAAAGTGATCATAAAGATATGATTAAGTGTTAAAGTGACCATATAAATAGGAATAAGTGTTTGATAATAATAATAGAATTAAAAAAGAGCAAATGTTCCACCATAGGAAGCAATCCATACAGCAGGCTTATAGAATGACAATCGCTTTAAGCAGCACTCTGAGCTCAAAATCAGCCATTAAGGCATTCTGGTCTGGCTGAAAGGCCCACAAGAGCATTTCAGGCATGGAAAGCCAACACACTGTAGCAAAAAGTGTCCTACATGAAGGATCTCTGTAGATGAGACCCCAATGGAAAGAATTGGTCATCAAAGAAGGATGTACTTTTCTCTGAAGAGAGGAGAGAACTTCCACTTTGCTTATGGCCTTGTCTAAATACTGAAGGAGCTTGTGGATTCAAAAGGCTTCCATAGCCTAGGCAGCTCATGTCAAGAGCCTCATGTGGTCATTGACATCACACATAAGAGTGTTAGTTGTTAAATTAACAACAGGAGTCACTGTGCACTAACTCCCCATGCAAGATCTCTGTCCTCAAAGAGTTGTATTATGAGAGTTAATATTAAAACTTGTTCTAATAACTTATGAAGCATTATCCTAAAAATTATTTCTGTGGACATTCCCCTCACACAACAAAGATCAAGATTCCGTTTGGAAGTCCTGTGGCACTTTTTAAAAACACATTTAAAAGCACCCCATTTGTGATTTTCATATAGAATCTGAAAGTCTGCCCAAAATCCATTGAGAGGATCAGCTATACCCTCAGATCCTTAATTTGGAAGGCCATGTCCTCCTTGAGATGCAAAAGCTTAGCAATAATATACTGGCTTAAAATCCTCACTTTTAAAAGTGAGTTGAGAGTCCACACTTGACTTAGAACAAAGCAGTAATTTTTCTGTATCGTCTCTGTGCCTTCGTGTCCAGAGCTCACCTACACTTTGAGACCTGGGGGACAGCGTCTCAAATTGGATATAAGTCTCTTTTGATAAATCATCTTCCCAGAAAGAGTCTGATTTACATTGCAGCTTGCAAACTTTGTACAACAAGAAACAAATCAATGGCACAGCAACCACACAGGCAGTACTTGTCACCACAATAAGGAAAGACCACTGAGAATCACCTTCTTCTACAACTCTGTCAGTAGAAAAGGTGATACATTGGTCTCTTTGGGGAGGCACCCCTTTTGGACAGACACATGCCATGTATTGTCTACCGGGCTCCAGACCATCTATGGTTACTTGGTTCTTGCTGGAGTCTGCATTTAACAGGAGCAGGTCCTTGTCCCCATACTTGGAATACAGCACAGTCATTGCAGAGTTATGCATGGTGTTGATGGTGTTCCACTTCAAAGTCACACTCTCTTCCGTCTCACTGACCACCCTGAGGTTTTCTACTGTGGCATTCGTCTCCGTAGGTGTTGCTTGGTCCAGAAATGCCAACTCTTCTTTCTTGCTTGCACTGGCTGGAGGAAGCTTACTTCCACTCATCTCTACCTTTAAATTTCTTCTGCCATCTGCATGGAGCTGAAGCGACTGCCTGCTGGCCATGGTGGGGCGTGCTGAAGCACCAGTGCTTAGAGTTGTGGTTGAAGAAATGATCGAAGAGAAGAAAGGAGACAAAGAGAAAGAAGTAGCAGGAGGTGACAAAGCCGAAGCAGAAACAGAAGTGGAAGAAGCAGGGAAGGACGAAGAGGAGGAAAGCGACTCAGGAGAAGATGATGACGTGGACATGGATGTTGGTCTTCCAAATCCTGGCTGGGCCTCTGGCTCCAGGTGATCTCCAGTTCTTCTTTCAGAAATATCTGATGAGATAGTTGTGGTGACAGTGCCAACCACTGTCACGGTAACCACAGCTTCTGACATCCCAGCCAGATTTTTGGCCTTGCATTTGTAGTCCCCAGCATCCTTGTGAGAAATGCCTGCCAAGCTGATTATGGACCACCTGACTCCTTCCCCTGGAGATTCCTGAATTACTAGAAGGAAACAAAGGTGCACTCTGTGAGCAAAAAAGGGAAAACTAGAGAAACCATGCCAAATGAGAAGGAAACTGCATCTGTTTTCATGTGTCCCCCTCACATAAGCCAAGAGGGAAATGGGCAGTGATGGGTCAGCGGATTGTTCAGGTAAGGCTGGAGGGTCTACCAGGTACCATGAAGTCTATATGAGGAATGATGATTTTCAAAACATAGGGATGGAAAACAAGGAGTTTGGGTTTAGTAAACTTTTGTTCACAAAGTACTATGTGATTTTTAGACAAGACAATTGGTGCCTTTAGTCCTCTGTCTCTGCATTTATAAAGTAAGGGTGTAGGACAAAGTGATCTCGAAGGTCCCTTCTAATTTTAACTGTGATGCTATAAAATGTTTATCATAAGATGCTCCTCTCAGGATAATTTTTGTTGCAATAAAATGCATCTGTCCATACAACCAAGAGGTACAGCAGATCATTTCTGGGCATGGAAGAGTCTTCATCTGTATTCATTTTATATCTAAGTTAGAAAAACTAGCAAATTATATTATTTTGCTTACAAAGCAACATATAGATTTTATAAAAATTGGAATTTTGCTTTCCTAAACACTAAAATTGCAACATATTTCCATCCTATCTTGTATTAGGAAACTGTCTAAAGAATAATTTTTGAGGAAGCATCCCAGGAGCCCAAAGCTTAACTCATTAAACTGTGGCCCATTTTCTACCTGTATGTAGGAATATTAGGATTTAAGGTGTATTAGTCCATCAGGTTTAATTCTTTTCCATCTCAATTTTAATTTAATTTTAAAGAATTTTAAAAAGTATATTCCTTGAAGAGTCAGAATGTCACTATGGAAACTGGAGCCCAAGCCCAGATTTGAAAGGGCTATATCATTGATATTTCTCAAAATTGTACTTTCTGTCTCATAATAAGGTTTCCATATACTTTATTATTTAAATAATCATTAAACATGAGAAATTTGCATAAAAGATCCTTTTTAAAAATTATAATGCTTGAACATTTTGAAGTGAGCTATATCCAAGATGATAGGGCATGCCAAATGCCTTGTCAGCAACCATCCATCCACCGGGTTATTTGATTTTCTACCTAAAGGAAAAAAAGACTAGATTGTCTAACTTTATCTAGGTACAAGTTGAGTATCCCTTATCCACAATGTTTGGGAAATGTTTCAGAATTTGGATATTTTTTAGATTTTGGCATATTGGCATATACATAATGAGACACCTGGGGAATAGAATAAAATCTAAACATGAAACTCATCAATGTTTTATACACACCTGAAGTTAACTTTATGCAATATGTTTAGTGCCCCTGCATTTTGACCGTGACCCATCACATGAGCTCAGCTCATCACATCATGCTCAGAATGTTTTGGATTTTGGAGTATTTCAGATTTCAGATTTTCTAGTTAGGGCTGCTTAACCTATAGTAGGATTACCTGAGGGAAATAACTAAGAAAATGTGCCTTTCAAATTCCTTGCATTCAACAACCTTGGTATACTTCATTAGAATTGATCAGCCAATTTCAAATCATACAAAGATGTGAAATTAGGTTCAGACTTTTGTAAACTCCTTGTTTCATAGGGCTGAATGAAGAAAATACCTGTATAATTCACTGGCAAGCTGTTGGACCTGGTCCACGTGAGCTGTGGGGTGGGGTAACCGGTGGCATCACACCGCAGCAGAACATTACTGCCAGGAGCAGATGTGATTTTGGTGGCTGAGGTCATCACCGATGGTTTCAGACACCGCTCCAACTCAGCTCGCTGAAACAAAACCCCTGTGAGGCGCTCAGGTTCACTGCAAATCATCAGTGGGTCAAGAAGCACAACAGCAGGGTCAGCGAACTTCGACAGCTCGATAATTTTGGAAATACGACAGTCACAGAACCAAGGGTTATCCTGCAGACCTAAAACAGAAGGGAGAAAAAGGTTGATACAGGCTATTCTGATGAATTCAGTTGACAGGTTCTCTTGGGAAAGGAGGTGTCTACACCATCTCCCTAAAAACAGAAGTGCTGTGGGAGATGAAATAGAGTCGCCTCTATTTTCCATTTGCCCTGCAAACCAGCAACCTGAATTAATATGTCATATCTAGATTCCAATGACGCTCCTGGCTTCTGGCTTCAGCCTGGTCCAGCCATTTGGGGGAGTGAACCAGCAAATGTAAGATCTGTGTCTGTGTGTGTGTCTCCCTCTCTCTCTCTAATTCTGACTTTCAAATAAATAAATCTTTTTCAAAAATATGTGCTTCTACTAGTTCAAATCACTAATATTCATAGTCAATATTTGTTGAACATTTACTTTGTGCTAGGTTTTGTTCTAAGCACTTACCTGTATTATGTCTTTTTTTTTTTTTTTTTTTTTTTTTTTTTTTTTTGACAGGCAGAGTGGACAGTGAGAGAGAGAGACAGAGAGAAAGGTCTTCCTTTTGCCGTTGGTTCACCCTCCAATGGCCGGCGCGGCCGGCGCGCTGCGGCCGGCGCACCGCGCTGATCCGATGGCAGGAGCCAGGAGCCAGGTGCTTTTCCTGGTCTCCCATGGAGTGCAGGGCCCAAGCACCTGGGCCATCCTCCACTGCACTCCCTGGCCACAGCAGAGGGCTGGCTTGGAAGAGGGACAACCGGGACAGAATCCGGCGCCCCGACCGGGACTAGAACCCGGTGTGCCGGCGCCGCTAGGCGGAGGATTAGCCTAGTGAGCCGCGGCGCCGGCCCTATTATGTCTTTTAATCCCAACAATTCTATGAAAAAGATAGTGTTATTATCCACATTTTAAAGATGAAGAAGCTAAGATATAGAGAGGTCAAATAACTTCCCCAAAGTCACGTAGCAAATGTCAGAGCCAGGATTTGAATCCAAGTACCATAGAATGCCATAAATAAAGTGTCAAAGGTATTTCTAGGGTGTTGTGAAAATACTTGTGGTGATGTAAGTCTTTTTTAATGTGTATTTTTGATTTTTTTTAAGATTTATTTTATTTGAAAGTCAGAGTTACACAGAGGGAGAAGGAGAGGCAGAGAGAGAGGTCTTCCATCTGCTGGTTCACTCCCCAGTTGGCTGCAACTGCTGGAGCTGGGCTGATCTGAAACCAGGAGCCAGGAGCCTCTTCCAGGTCTCTCTTGTGAGTGGAGGGGACCAAAGACCTGGGCCATCTTCAACTGCTTTCCCAGGCCATAACAGAGTGCTGGATCATAAGTGCAGCAGCTGGGATTCGAACTAGTGCCCACATGGGATGCTGGCACTGCAGGTGGCAGTTTTACCTGCTAGACCCAGCGCCAGCCCTGTGATGTAAGTCTTATAAAGTGCTAAGAGGCATCTAACTCAATCAGGACTATGTCAAGGTTTTGGGCTGTTTGAAGACATATTGAGGTAATAAAAGTTTTGTGTAGCAAAAATATAGTGTGAGACACAGGCAATAGCAGGACATGAGACTGAAAAGATTGATATTAGCAGAAACACCACCCATCATGCTTGTCACATGTGGTAGCCATGGAGACACTTGGCTTACATCTGCCTTGAAGAGAGGCTCAGGTGCAAGAAATCCACTTCCTGTTGCAGGTGCCTTCAGAATCTGCCTCTGCTTTCAGAGTCATTAGAATTTGTTTGGGGGCCAGTGCTGTGGTGCAGTAGGTTAATCCTCCACCTGCCGCACCAGCATCCCATATGGGCACTGGTTCAAGTCCCAGATGCTCCTCTTCCCATCCAGCTCTCTGCTATGACCTCAGATGGCAGTAGAAGATGGCCCAACTCCATGGGCCCCTGCACCTGCATGAGAGACCCAGAAGAAGCTCCTGGTTCCTGGTTTCAGATCAGCTCAGCTCCGGCCGTTGAGGCCATCTGAGGAGTGAATCAGCAGATGGAAGACCTCTGTCTGTCTCTGCCTCTCACTGTCTGTAATTCTACCTCTCAAACAAATTAAGTAAAATCTTAAAATAAAAAAAAGAATTTGGCCCTTATAGAGACTTTCAGTGAAAGCTTAAAGTAGGAAAAATGTTACTGGAAACTGAAAGGGGATCCTTGCTGTGGAGTGGCAGAAAGATTAGCCACCCTGTGACCTATGGCAAACATAGAAAATTGAAAACACACTCAATGAGATGGGTGTTCTACCCAAGAATATTTCCACACAGAGTGTTGAAACCTGAACCTGGCATCTGCTTCATGTTTAAATGTAAAGGAGAGACAACAGGGGCTGGCACTGTGGTATCGTGGGCAAGCCATAGGTGCCAACATCCCTTATGGGAGCCCATGAGTCCTGGCTGCTCCACTTCCAATCCAACTCTCTGCTGTGAAAGCAGTGGAGCCTGTGAAAGCAGTGGAGGGTGGCCCTAATACTTGGTCCTCTGCACCCTTGTGGGAGACCCAAAAGAAGTTTTTGGCTTTGGATCAGCCCAGTTCCAGCCATTGCGGACCATTTGGGGAGTGAACCAAAGGATGGAAGATTCTTCTGTCTCTGCCTCTCTCTTTCTCTCTCTCTCTCTCTCTCTCTCTCTCTCTTTCTCTAACTCTGCCTTTCCAATAAGATAAATACATCTTAAAAGGGGGGGGGGGCGGGGGAGGAGACAACAGCTAAAGAAGAACTGTAACACTCAAAAGAAGCAAAACTTTATGAGTTCAATTACAAAGTTTTCTCACTCCCAGCCTCAAAATTCTCAAAGAAGGGAGTTCAGGGTAAAAATTCAACCCAATTGGGACTATAAATGTCTGCCAAAATCTCAGAAGGATCTAAGATTGTACTGCCACACTTTATGGCTGAAAACAAGTCCCTCCTAGGGCTTAAGGAGCCCTAGGGCTTTAAGGGCAACATCCCACAACTACTTCAACTAAAGCCCCATGTAGAAAGGGTTTTCTTTCAGAAATGCATAGATACGGATTTTTACTAATGGAGTGAATTGTAAATTGAGAAGAAAAGGCAGAATAACACTTTAAAGAATTCTAACCACGTTGGAAATTTAACCATTCACTCATTCAACAATTCTGTTCATGCGCATTTAATCTTGTACTTTAGAAATTTGTGCAGCAGGTTAAAGCCCTGGCCTGAAGTACGGGCATCCCATATGGGTGCTGGTTCTAATCCCAGCTGCTCCTCTTCCAATCCAGCTCTCTGCTATGGCCTGGAAAGCAGTAGAAGATGGCCCAAGTCCTTGGGCCCCTGCACCTACATGGGAGACCCAGAAGAAGCTCCTGGCTCCTGGCTTCAGATAGGCTCAGCTCCGGCCATTGCAGCCAATTGGGGAGTGAACCAACAGATGGAAGACCTCTCTCTCTACCTCTCTCTGTAACTCTGTCTTTCAAATAAATAAAATCAATCTTTAAAAACAATTTTGCTTTTCATCCATGAGTGGCTAATCTGGAACATTTCCCTCTTACATTTGGTCCTGTGAACCTGTGGCTTGTTCTCTAATTGATATTTGAATTCTGTTCTCTTAAGCGTTGGCTCTTTCACCCAACTTCGTCCCACAAGCAGACTTTCTAGTCCATTTTGCAATGACTAAGTGTGGCCTTTGAACCTAAAATTGGGGCTAAAATCTTGATTCTACCAAGCTCCACCACAGTAGTTAGGTATCTCTCTAAACCTCATCTATAAAATGTATATAATGGCAGCAATTCTTTCATAGAGTTGCATGAAACTTTAATTAAAGAATTCATATAAATTACTGTGGACAATGGCTTAATCATGGTAAAAAGCACTATAAACTTTAAGAGCTAAACATAGCTCTTAAAACTTCTGGTTAATAAAGTCAAAGTTTTAATATATAATAATAACAACATAAGTTAAAAGTTAATGTTTTGTACATGGCAAATACTGTACTTGTCAAGAACAATAAAGGTGCTAAAGGTTTACCTTGACATTAGGGTGACCAAAACATCCCAGTTGGTCTGGAGCATTCCTTCTTGTAGCACCAAAGAAGTATCCTGGAGAAGCTAGTCTGGACTAACTAGCCTAGATGAACTAGCCTGACAAACCACCTGGATAAACAGCAGGAATCAGCCTGCCATAGCAAGTAAGTTGAGATGTTGGTAGAACACCCAAGACTCCTGCTTGGAGTTGAAGGATGGTGTATTACTCATAGCACTGGAAGAAGACATTATCTTTATTACACTGGCTAGTAAGTATGCCAGCACTTTGTCTGGAAGTAGCTATATCTCTTCCTTTCAAACCTGTTCTCTAACAAACATCAAATCTGCTCACAGGACATGCAGAAATTTAAGAAACCATGGACTGCCTGGCTCAATACTCACAAAAGCATAAAGTAGGTAGCACTATTACCATCTTCATTGTAAAGAGAAAACCTGAGGCCCAGGGAGATTAAAAAACCAGCTCAAGGGCACACAACTGGACAGACAGGTTTTGACCTTCAGTGTCCTGATTTTTAATATCTCATTCCTCACTAGGCTATGTTTTACATCATCTTCCAATTTCACACCAAATCAAAGGGCAAAGTGATTACTACCTTGACTTCTAAGTACTTTAGAGTCCTATGTATAAGATTAGTTTTGTCCTCCAAATCTAATACTCTTTCCACCATAACTCATCTCTTTGTGATCTAAAATCTGCAGGTAGAATGCAAGCTCTAAGAGCTGTTGTCTAGAAATAAAACATGTCAAAGCAGCAATATCTGGAACATACACGTCTATATGCAGAAAGACTTGATAGCTATAACATTAACAGTTTCATTCACACTTTGAAATTTTTATAAAAATTGGTGAATGGTGAAGCCATATTAGTTAAAAATTATATGTAAACTAGGAGTAAATATTTTTAAATTCCTCAAAAATAAAACGTCTATTTTTTCCAGGTTTGAAATCACTAAGGTCAAAACACAATTTTTAAAGCCTGAATAAAAACAGTGATCCAAGAACTGAACACCTCCATCAATGTATTTTTATGCCTGGGGACAAAGGTACAA